CAAACAATTCTGTCTTATGATCTGTTAGTGTGACACCTTCCATCTGTACTGCATTCTTTTTAAAGCAGGTCCTTTCCCGAGCAGCAGCAGCTGGTTATCCTCCCAAAACTAGAAAAGGCCACAGATGTTGCCTCAGTGGTGGATCTGTCTACCGCACAGGAAGGTTAGTCCTTAGCAACACACAACACAACACAACACACCTCTCTGATTTAAACTGACCTTGGATAACATGCACAGGGAAGTACACTCGGAACCTGTCAGTATAATAAGCAAATCCAGGCACCAGGCACCAGGAGAATGTTATGCTCTTTGTAGTAGGGTACAGAGTTAAATCACACCTAGAGCGAAAAGAATACAAGCAATCATCAGCAGACTGCCCAACGGAGAAGAAAGTTATTTGGGCTGTAGGGAAAATTTGATGTAGAGATATTGAATCCATTCGTTATTTTGCTTACAGTTTATTCTGAACCAATTAGTAGACCTGAAAACTACTTAGAAGACTAATGCTTTCTTACATACTTTGAGGTGTCTGATGTGCAAAATTATTTGATATCTTCTTTTTACAAAGTCAAGAGTTTACTGTACAGCTTTTCCCCCTTTCAAATACTTTAATTTTATATATAAATAAGTCCTTTACTGATCCAGGGATAATTATCATTAACCTGACAAAATATGTCTTCTATGCAAGTAATTTTGAAATTGTGACCATGGGATTAGAGGAATAGATAGTGCTCCACCTAACGTGGCAGGGGGGTTATCACACATGTTAACCCAAAAAGACGCAAAGAGGGTGAAATATGATTGAGGAAGAATCAGTATTCTAAACTCTCTTGCCTCAAATCATCCTTAGTTCCCTGCAGCCCCTTCTAATCACCAAAGGACATTAATAATATTGTAATTTTAAGCCTCCAAGCAGTAAAGCCTCAGATAAATGGGCACCGGTCTGGCTTGCGTTCTCATCATGGCCTATGGTGGCATTTATCATACCTATGTGGGGACTCAGTTATTCTTCTTTCCTTGATGGTATCTGTAAATATGAATATGTTAATAGAGTCTTAGGGAACATGTTTATGAGGAACTATAAACTATTTGCAGAAGCATCCTATATGCATTATTTCAATTGCAGATTTTTTTTAAACTCTAGTGTGAGTTTACCAGACATAAAAAAAGAAAACCAAACACCCATGCCTCCAGGTTCATTTATACTGATGGAGATGCAGGTAAATGGAGGTGAATCCAGGTACAAGCATTGCCCCTAAAGGTTATACATACTGTTGTGTTCAGGGGAAGAGCTAAATGGAATCTCTCCTCACTTTTGCAAGTCAATTGTCAATTTCTGCACTCTGAGGTGCAGAAAACTTCTTGAGCCCAAGGTCATGATTCCATATGCCTTATTGTACAGAGGAAAATTCCATATCAGTAACTTTTCTCTGAATCAAGGGAAAACTCTCTTGAAATTTTTTATAATGAGTAAACTCTTACATTATAAATAATGTATCACCTTGTTCCCCCAAACCCACTTTTATAAGGGTTTACCCAAGTATATTTTTGAAAATAACTACTACTTCCCTTCATCAGGAATTTATGGAGAAACAATAAAATTATTGATACAAAACTTTCTTTTGGTATCGACTTTCACAATCCTGTTACCACAAACTTTCAATTCCTATTGGCACATGATATGCCAGCTAATTTAAGGTACAAGATAATTCAATGACCTTTAGAATTGAATCTTTAAAGACAAAAGTTTAAAATTGAACTGCTATTAAGATCATTGAATTCACTTCCTTCATATACAGATGAGGGTGTATGGATGGCATGATCTTCTGAGTTCTATGATCTGGGTCCACGACAGATGGGTAGAATCTAGGTGGCCACCTGAGCTGCATCTAATACATCCCTTCTGCAATCCCCTGACTTTTGAAAGGAGCAATTTGGTAGCTGAATCTGAAACCCTGGGGGATGCTTCCCCTTCATCCGCAGCAGATTCTCTTGGGAACTTGTCTGAAATGCAGATTCAAGCTCCATCTCAGAGCTACCAAATCAGAAACTCTGGGATGTGGGAACCAGGGATTTATGGTTTGACAAACCCTCCAGGTGATTCTAATGCACACAAAAGTTGAGATCGGTAATTCAGAAAAGGATATTTTAATTTTTCCCTATTCACATTTACAACGCATTAAAAATAAAAAGAAATTAAAGTTCAAAAAATCCTAAGCACAAGGGTGACGGTGGCCGGCATGAGAGATGAAAATAATAACAATGTACAATCTATCGGTGGGTTCTGAGGGTAGCAGGTGGGGGGTGGGGGAGGAGGGAGAAGGAAAAAACAGAGCTTGTACCGAGGGTTCAGTAGAAAGTAAATGTCTAGAAGAGAATGAGGGCAGCATATGTACCAACATGCCTGATTCACTTGAGTATGGATTGTGATAAGAGTTGAGGGCAACATATGTACAAGCATGCCTGATTCATTTGTTGTATGGATTGTGATAAGAGTTGTAGGAGCCCCCAACAAAATGTTAAAAAAAATCCTGAAAACGTTAATTATGGATTCTAAATTATGTTGACCAGATTTCTTTTTTAAGAGCAAACTAGGAATACTGCTCAAAAGTTATGTTAATTCAATTCACAAATCCTTGTTAAAATAATGCCCTAAAGAGACATACAATCTATGGTAGCACAGTTATAATAAAATATAGTCTCTTTTTCAAAATGCTTATCCTTTCATGAAGACTCCTTTTTACTTGAATGACGTGGTTTATTTTGTTGAAGTAGTATTTTCTTGGTGTTTTTCTACTAACAAATTTGTATTGTGCCACATTCTATTTTACAAGTTCTGAAAAGGTACATAATCAATCATAGATGCCAATTTCTGTCTTTGGAAAATAAAAGAACAAATACACAAACTGCCAGATGTCTGGGATATTCAGTAGTCTTAGATTTTGAAAATCTGTTACACTAGAAAAATCTGAGATTTTTAGTTGAATTTCCGAGTAATTGGATGTCTGACTATTGAATCCCACATGTGGTGCATATAGATGAAGCAACCCACGCCTGTGTCTGCTGAGTGGATTCTGCTCTTGGGGAAACAGGGCACAGTAGAACTGTTTCTAAGGCTGCAATTCCTGAAAGAGGCAGATGGCAAGACGCTGCTCCTGGGACTGGTTGGTGGGCTCCAATTGACAGCCTTCTAGTGAGCAGCTGATTGCCTTAACCACTGTGCCACTAAGTCTTCTTTTTGTGCAGACAGGTATAATTATTCATGGTTGCTGCTGCATAATATTTTATTGTGTGAATATATATGATTTTTCCATTCTACTGATTGGCATTTGGTGATTTCAGAGGTGTTTATGTGTGTGTCTAGTGCTGTGCACATTCTTTTCCATGTTTCTTACATTGACTATCTATGTAAGGGTTTTCTTTGAGGATATATTTAAACATGGAATTTTAGAGTATTGAATGGATGGCTATTTAGTTCTACAAACTAAGACCTAACTGCATTTCAAAGAATTTGTACTAATTTATATTCCAAAAGTAAGATTAAAAAGCCTATTAATTTACATCTTTCCCATACCTTATTTTTATTGTTACCTTTCATTGCTATCTTAATGAGTGCAAAATGGTATCACATTGTGTTTTTCATTTGCATTTACCTGAGTATAACACCATTTTTTTTGCTATGATATTATTTGGGCATATATGGTCCTGTGAAAGTCTGAGTATTTATTTTACCCTTTTATAAAAAATTGAAAAATAAAATCTATACTGTCTTCCCCCCACAAACACACATGATTTTATTCATTTTCTCATTGGTATTGACCTATACCAATACTTTCAACCAGATTCAAATAATTTTAATTCCTTAAGAAAAAGACTAGATACTCATTTAGAAATTTTATAATGTTCAAATGTTTTAACATTTTTTCTCTAATGGAATGTAGTTTTGGCTCACCCTCTAGAAAAAATCTGCTGCATATTTACATAGTCTTGTCACCAATAAATCTAGTTACAGGAGGTGAGTGTAACTTTGGGTAAGATGTTTTCAGGCTCTTGATGTTGGTTTCTTCGTGTGTAAATGAGGGAGATCCGTGAAGTTGTATAGATGGTCGAACAAGTTACTTGTCTACTGCATCCCTCTCGTTCTTTTACTTTGAACTCTTCTTCCTCACCCTTCTTTATGATGACTTCCATCTGCCTCCTCTCCAGTGTCATGAAAAAAACAAGTCATATATATATATATATATTCAGGAGGAAGGTTGAAGCTTGTCTCTGTTACTCCATCTTGATTGGAAGCAAAGGTTTAACCTTCTCTTAACTGGAGCATTTAGATTATTTTAATACAATTACTGATATATTTGTTTATATTTATATCTTATTTTATGCATTTTTTCACTCAATTTGATCTATTTTTGTTGTATTTTGTCTCCTTCCTTGTCTTCTTTTTGATTGGTTGAGCAAAAGTTCCTTATTTGTTCTATTTCCAAAGAAAAAAGTTTCTTCTTTGTTCTATTGTATGGCTATATGCTTTGCAACTGTGTTTCAAAGAACTATCTTCAGAATTAAAAATACAAAACTTTCTTGTCAATTTTGAATAATCAAAAGTTCAAAATACATAAAGAAATAATTGATAGAATCAGAATCTCAAGGACTGAAAACTAGAAACATGCATTTTAAACAAATATACTCAATGATTTTTACACACGATAAACTGGAGAACTAGATAGGGAATAATCGCACCAGAAATATCGCCTAAATTAAGTTAAGACAGCTCGCTTAACTTTAGCTGTTTTTTTTCCCCTTGATAGGAATGTGGAAATGGATGTAGGCATTACTGAATTCTAATTATCCAGGAAAGGAAATATACCAGGTGATAAGGAATGGCATATTTTACATTAGCAATGAATCTGAAGAGTAATTTTCTTTTCTTTTTTCTTTTTTTGTAAATCCAAGGCTTGGTTTTTGTTCTTTTTAAAAAGACTGGAACCCAGTCCCTTGTCCCTATTGAGTCCATTTTCTAAGAGATGTCACTTTTTGAGATAATAAGTTAAATGTTTCTGGAGTGGAGGTAGTGCCCCTCTTCCTAGTGAGAAGTTTTCTTGGCCCCTTTCCCAAACTTGGCATCAAGATCAACACCCAGGAACACCAGCACAGTGCCCACCCACTGCATGGAGCTGACGGGGTTGGCAAAGCGGGTCACAGAGGCCAAGATGGTGATGAACTTGTGAGTTGTGGTGATGATGGAGCAGGTCAGGGGCCCAAAATAGACAACAGGCATAAAGATGAAGCTCTGACCCAGGGCACTGGTCAGGCCAAAGAGCAGGATGTTAGAGATGATGGCAGGGGACCTCTCTGCAAAGCTCAGAAACTCCCAGAGCTCCTCGGTGAACAGGATCCCGGCGCCCAGCATCATGTGATTGGAGCCTATTTGGTAATGAGCCCGCATGTGCTCCTGGGAAACGCCTGTCATTCCAGTCGGACATCCGAAGAGTAATTTTCCCTGTCAGATATTAAATACGTTTTCAGATATGATTATAAGTAAGGACATTGATCACCATAATGCACTGTGTCATCGGGAGCAACTGTACAAAAGATAAAGAAAGACTTTTCATGCTCTCTATTGCTTGAAGTCAAAAACATCATACTGAAATCATATATTTGCAAAAATCTATTTTATTGTTTGTTGCAGAGTAAAAGTAATTTTTCATCTATGTGCTTTTTTGAGACTGTTGCTAGAGTAGAAGAAGGCTCACATTTATCATATCACTGATTTAAGAAACAAATTTAGGACTTACTCTTTGTTAAACACTATCTAGGGAGTTGAGAATTCAGGAATAGCCAAGGTATTTGATATTCTTAAGATATTGTCCGAGGTGAAGACAGACCAATAGATAAGTGATAAATGTTTAATTAAGCACATTAATTCAAACCAACAACTCATTGCCATTTATTTCATTCTTGCTCATCATGACTTTACAAAGGTTTTCCAAGCTTCAAATTTTTACAGGAGCATATAACTTTATCTTTTTCCTGCAAGTCAGCGGATGGATTTGAAGTTCCAACTTTGTTAGCTGTTCAGCGTTTACCCAACAGTGCTACTGGCACTCTTCTTTATGCATAAAGTAAAATAAATACTTTCACTTTTTATTTTTATAACAAGAAAAAAGACAAATTCTTATGAGAACTGCTAATTTTCTACCTATTTTAAGGCTGTCAAACACTTGGTGACTGGAATCATTAAGAAATCACAGATTCAATGAAAATAAAATGCATTATCCTCATGGGATTCAGTCTAAAAGTGGATATATATATATTTGAAATTATTGTGAATGCAGGGAGACTAAAAGTAACTGTCCTTCTAAGCTTTCAAGAGTATTCAAAAACATTATTTTACTGCAGCTGTCCAATGTTATGTTTGCTATTTAAAAAGAGCCTGCTCGAGTAGAAGGGCGCATATTGTTTAGAATCAAATTCCTAAGTTCAGATCTCACAGGACAGGGAGAAAGCCCATGCCAGGAAAGGATAACACTCTGTTTATGATTAGGTGTCACAGAGATTTAAGAATTTTTCTTTAATTGAGAAAATTTCATGGGAAGGTCTTGATCTGTCATAGTCGGAATGTAAATTCTCTACTGCCTGTCATGGGAAACAATCTAAATGATATGGCCATCCTAGGTGGCCAAATACCGAGACAAGTAGTCTTAAAGAGATTTTGTAGTGACTAAATAAAAACCATTGCCTGTTGAGATCTCTGCCAGGTGTGGAAATTCAAATATTCTTCTTGATTTATTGGGTTTTATTGTTTATATGGGACTCATGTAAAGGACAAAGGTAAATTTCTTAAAAATAAGAATGATAGACTGATTATTCTTACTCCGGTGGAAGGTTGGTTCTTCATGTGAATAGGCTGCAGGAATGCCTAAATATAAGACTAAAACTTTCCCCCAAGTTTATAAATACCAGTATTGGCTCAACTGAAGATCCAGAATTCTCCATTACAAATTATAAAAAATGTCCATGCCAGAGAATATTCAAGAACAGATGCTACCACAAGATGTTGCTCCACTACAGACGAGATTTTCTGAAGCTCCTTTATATTGCCATAAAAGGAACCCACAGATAAGTAAATTGGAAATGTTGTTGGAAAACAACAACAACAATAACAAATAACTCAGTGCTTTTGAGTTGATGACCACCTATAGTGACCCTAAAGAGAGGAGAAGTGACTGAGACTGTAACTCTTTATGGGAGTAGAAAGCCCATCTTTCTTCTGAAGAGTGGTTGGTGATTTTGAACTGATGCCATGGGAGTCAGCAGCCCAATCTGTAACCACTATGCCAATTTGTTAAAGGGAATTTAGTATTATGCATCTGGAAGTCAAAGAACAAGTATTGCTAATGAGCGTTAGTGGCATGAGTCATGTTAGCACTGTGCTAACAGTGTCAGCATGACATGAAAAATGTTTACTTAAAAGGCTGTTTCATAAAAGTTTGTGGGGAAAGTTTGTTATCTTTTAATTCCATTTTTCTGCTTGAAGCCCCCTTCATTTTACAGGGAAACAAAAAATAAATATATTGGGGATATATTTATGCCACCAAAGATAAGAATTTATTTTGTTAAGAGTTAATTCCTAATATGTTCCTTGTTTCTTAAAGTGATTATTATTGTAATAAAGTCTCAAATAAACATTAAGGGTTTGGAGTGCATATTAAACTAATATTATTCATTTGCTTTTTGTGGGACCAAAAGCTTGAGACACATCAGTTAATGTTACTGAAACTCTACGATATGCCTAACTTTTTCATTTAAGTGACTTTAAAAGAATCAATAACAAATATTGAAAGAGTGCTACAAGATGATATACAGAAGGAAAAAGATAAATAATTTATGTAGGAACTTGGGTTCTTATGGAAACCATTTGTATCTAATTACCTAGGCTAAAGCACTTTGATGCTATTGTGTGGGCCCTCGCGGAAAGTTTCATTTACCACAGTAATTTCTATAAAATCACTGTGCAGCTTCCACATCCCAGTCCCAATCCTCCCTCTCTATTACTATATACTATCAGTAGACTCTCTGGCAGAACAAAAACAAACAAATAAGACAGAAAAACACAACAAATTACTGCTCCCTGGTATTTAAGAATATTGGGGTATATAGCTGAATCTATATTATGCATAAATAAAACTTACATTAACTACAAAATATGTTAGTTATGTTACAGACCTAGATCTCTTGCTCTACACTGTACATGTTACTTTCTCTGCAGAAAGGGGAGTGAAAAGGTTTTTCAAACAACTGACAATAAGATAGCAATTCTGGATACATTTTAGGACATATGAGGCATTTGCTTTTCACACACAAAAATAATAAAAAAAATAATAAGACAACATATAAAGTGATATTTTAAAAATAAAAAAATCAAGCCGGAGACTGAAGAAGCTGGGGTAGTGTAATGTGATAGTTAGGGTTTTTTGTTGACAGTATGGCACCCATAAGAAAATATGAGTGGATTGTATCCTGTCAATCAGGTCACATTGATGCTGCCTCCTGGTGGGTTGCCTCATTAGGAGGATTGTGGGAAACCACACCCAACCCCACCCCTTCACTTTTTTGCTGCTGAGACACCCAGAGAGCTGGAGGAGCCCTGTGGAGATCCTCACTAGTCCCGAGATGCTTCCAATGCCATTGGATCCACTGGCTTTTCACCTACCAGCCTGTGATATTCCTGCATTTGGCATCATTGCTTGCGACTGTGAAGTCTGAAGAGGTTTTTATGGACTACTATCAGACTTATGAAGTAGTATCAGACTTATTAACTTGATATGGACTTGGCTAGGATGTTGTCTCGGTCTATATTACTTCTTGATATAAAGCTCTTTATTATACATCCATGAGTGTCACTGAATTTGTTTCTCTAGTCAACCCAGTTTAACACAGGTAAGGAAAAAGAATCCATTAGATTTTTGTGCTGATTTTAATTTCTTTTTAAGTTATGTCTAGAAGAGCTGGAAAAAGTTGTACAAATAATTTACATATTCATTTCTAACCTTATTAATTTTAGTGTCAGAATATATAAAACTTACTACTAATCAATAAGTAAAACAGCCTAATGGGCAAAAGCTCTGAGAAGACATTTTATGAAACGATATGCTAACATTTCAGTAAACACACAATAAGTGCTCAGCTGGGTCAGTCATTGGCCAAATGCAAATTAAACTACATACCAAAATGTATTACCAGGATGAATGAAATGAAGATTAAATATAATATCAACATTTTCAGAAAGAAATGGCCTATGACACTATATAAGTTTAATGCAATCCCAATACAATTACCCTCATTTTTCTTCAAAGAAATGGAAAAACTGATTTCCAACTTCATATGGAGAGGGAGGAAGTCCAGAACTAGCAGAGAACTCCTCAAGAAGAAGGACACAGTAAGAGAGCTTTCTTTGCCTGACTTCAGCACATATTATACAGCCACAATTGTCAAAACCGCATGGTATTGGTATAATCCCAGATACTCAGACCAATAGAAAAGAACTGAAAACCCAGAAATAAAATCATCAGCATACAGACAACTGATCAAAATAAGGGCCCCCAAAATATCCAATGGGAAGCAGATGCCCTCTTCAACAAGTGGTGCTGGAAAAAAAATGGATATCTACCTGCAGAAAAGTGAAGCAAGGCCCTTATCTCACTCCATGCACAAGAATAAACTCAAGGTGGATCCTAGACCTCAAGGTAAAATCCCAAACTATCAGGGTCATCAATGAGGGAATTAGGACCAACTTGAGAACTTTGGCACAGGGAATACATAGGCTATCGGAAATAGGGAAGGACACAAACACAGAGGAGGCACAAAGTGACAAGTGGGATATATTGAAGATAAAACACCTGTGTACATTGATAGAATTTACCAAGAGAGTAATAAGAGAGCCCACAGACTGGGACAACATCTTTAGCAACAACACATCAGACAAAGGCCTTATTACTAAAATCTGCAATACTCTGCTAGCTTCCAAGAAGAAAGAAACTAATTGCCCACTGAGGAAGTGGGCAAAGGACCTGAACAGAAGTTTCACAGGGGCAGAAATCTGAATCGCCAATAAACAGATGAGAAAATGTTCCCAATAATTAGCCATAAGAGAAATGCAAATTAAAACAAATTAAACCACCTAACATCCTCAACGACAGCCCAATTTAAAAAATCAGAAAGCAGCAAGTGTCAGAGGGCTGTGGGGAGACAGGAACTTTCATCCACTGCTTGTGGACCTGTAGGTATGGACAGCCATTATGAAAATCGATCTGGTGATATCTAAAACTGATGGAAATAAAGCTACCATATGACCCAGAAATCCGCCTGCCGGGCATATACCCAGAAGAGGTAAGACACAAACCAAGGCCAGACATCTGTGCTCCAATGTTCATCACATCACAGTTCACAATTGCAAGGAGTTAGAAACAA